ATATTTGATGCGGTTTGACAGACTTCTCACCGTTCGACTCACATAACGTGCCCCAAAGCTACACAATATCCCCGCATCCGGGTGTATAAAACGATCCCTTGACTTCACTTGTGAATTTATAAATAAAAAATGAGCTTTTTTTTAGAGTAGCAAGCTTGGATTAGCCCATCCGATTGTTAAGAGGCACCAGGCGTGAGATTGTTTGTTAACTTGTCCTCTCATGGCTACTCAATCGGGAAAAATTTCACATCATGTTATCCCATTTGATTAAATTTGTTCAATTTATAATGACCATGAAAGCTATCTGTTTCAAGATCACTTCAGGGGCATTGAGTGAGAATCTGGATAAGTTTATGCGAGAAAGAGAGACGATTGTTGGGCATTATTTTGATGTCCTCAGGAGAACCGACTATTGATCGAACTTATACGGTGATTCCGGGATTCCGTAATCACTTTGATCTCCAACTATGTCCTCTATCAGCTGACCTGTTGCGGCTCGACGTCAAAAAATCAGTTTTAGAGCTCTGTTGGATATCTGCAGTCGATAAACTTATTACCAATATGAGACAACTAAGTTTCTGATACGCTTTTAGAGATTCTACCTTACTCTAGAGATTGTTAAGACTCAATAAAATCAGTTCGGGTTCAGTATAATGAGAGCAGTGTTTTGAAATGAATCAGAACTATTGTGTTTTTAAAGTGTGTTTTCAGGATCGCACTGATTACCAGAATCACATGGTTGACTGTGTTGTTTGGTTACTAAAGTTGCGAGAATTTCAACTGCCGAACTACGCGCGCACTAGCACACAAACGCACACACAGATTATGCAGTGCTCACCAGTTGAGAAAGGAAACAGCCAGGGTGTATACTGATTTCTATCGGTCTTGTATGTCTCCCTTCGAACTAACATACTATTTAGTTTGTTGCAATGGTATAAGATGTGCAGTGTATTCCGGTGAAAAAATCAAAGTCCAGGAACAATCCGAATAGCGTTGTGCTGCACAAGCAGCTTAATGCGATCATTTTTTGCGATCAAAATTAGGTGCGCAAATCACCACACATCACGAGACCACAATCAGCCAATCCTATTCATCACGTCAGACCATTACAATAGCTTGACCATTTTGAACCCAATATATAACTGTAGTAGCCCGAGGAAGAAGTTATCGAAAACAAGCGTTGTTCGCTATAGTGTTTTATATTGTCACAATGGGAATATTCAGTGAATTTTAAGAAGTTACTTTAGTTACATTTCCTATCGGAATACAATTACCGAAAATGAAGCATATCATATTACCTCATCATAACTTACGAATTATTGATGAGATGAACATTCCGAAGGTAAAGTACATTTTTGATGCGATTTCTACACCTAAATCACTTTTGGGATGATGGGAGGAGAGGGGGGAGTTATAAATGGAAAGAGTTAAAAGGTGAACACAGAATCAACGCAAATTCGCTAAATGAAAACGGGTTGTATGTGTGTGCCAAAGCAATATCACGACAGATTTCACGATTCATCTCAGTAATCATCCTGTTGAGTGAATTTGTTTTTCACATAGTGCACGAAATGCTTCTAGTGCATCCCCGTGATCCCGTAATGTTTTGCTCATTCCGCTTCGTGAAAATTAATGTGCTCAGATTTTTCATCTTCACGATATTAGGCTCACATAGAGACTGAATTTGAACAAGCACATTGACTAGGACAATCCAGATGTGCTTTGTTCTCATCGCTTTTATTTCACTGGACTGACTCAGTATGTCTAATTAAATGTTTCGGTCCAAAATGAAACTTTCAGGTACGATTTAGCTTCATGATATATATATATATATCATTGTGAATTTGCCCAGACTCGAGATCTGTGCATCTTAGTTCTTACTTAGATCTCAGTTCTTCCTAGCTTATTTAATCCCCACGTTTTTGATAGAGTTTATTTGACGGGGAGTGGATGAGAATCAAGAACGAAACACCAACACACACACAAACAGTCATAGATCAGGATACAACTACACAATATTTATCAGATCAGATGGAATTAAAAAAGAACATATGTAACTGGAAAAAACGTACGGTTAAAAGGTTGACTATCAACCGTGTGGCATCCGGTTTCGTCACACGACCGGAAGGTTTACGATTCGAATCCCGGCAGAGAAAACGGGAAGCATGTTGTTAATTAAACCTTTGGGGAAGTGCTGAACTACATTTTCAAATTTTGTTTTGGCCTACATTGTATTGTGTTATTTAGTCTCTCTTTCACTCGAGAGAGAGAGAGAGAGAGAGGAAAATCCAACCAACATCATTTACGCAATAGTTGCTTGGAATTATTCCATTGTCTACCGGTCGGATTTTACAGATGGGTATATTTCATTATCATTTTATTTCCTTTTATAGAATACTTAATGATACAATTTTCAGAGAGAGGGAAGTGGTCAATCCAAGGGATGTCACACAATACACAACGAGAAAAGTCAACTGGTGGTGGTGGGTTTCGAACGCTCGTTCTCCCGAATGATATTTGATGACTGTTACCACCCGGCAACCCCGCCCAAGTTCCGATGATAATTCCGCTGATCAACACTTCCTTTCCAGTAAATGAACTATCGTTTTATGTGTGCGAATGATTTTGATACTACCTAAGTGGTTATTTTTGGATCCACCTTTATGATGTAAAGTTCACAATTAACTAATGAATGAAAACTACAGTACCTTCCGTTCACATTTTATTTTAGTCTGGAGCGGTCAGCAAAGTATGTAGACGAAATCCGTTGCTATTTACATCAATCAAAAGAAAAGTCATGAAGCTAACTCGCAATTCACGTGACTAATATCCGGACTCAATATGTTTAGCTGATTTTACATTGCCGCTACAAAAGGCTCAATTACCAGACTCACAATTAGAACGGCTTACCTGCTAAATTGCACTGGTGAAATCAGACTCACAACATCTGTTTCCCTCATTACGGAGTCATTGTGAAAATCTCGAAGTTATTCATGTAACAGTTTATTCTTTAGGGTGTACTGTAGCAAACTCGGAATAGAATTCACTTACCTGAACTTCATTAAATCATTTTTCTGAATCATTTCATGATCGAACATGGCCCTGCAAACCAAAAGAGCGAAAGTTCAATACGCGGCTAGATTACGCACGAATCAGAAAAACTATTGACTAAACAGATAAAGAATAGTTTAGTGAGATTAAGATGTGATGACTTAACAGGACATGGTGTTGAACGACACACCGTTAATTAAACAATGTCTTGCCTCTGATGTGATATGGACGTTTTCATCCTATGACAGCTTAAACTCCGTTTTTGCAGCAGATTGGATTGCGCATCGAATATCTTTTGTTCACTCGCACCATTCATGGTATCATCGATGAAAACCATGTCAGTCTTATCATGAAACCCATTGACTTCTAGAACTGTACCAGAACCCTTATCACCATGCGATCTCAACATGCTGATTTAGTTTGTGTGCCTGCAACCTCTTGATCTCCAGATTCAGATTCATTCAGTTTTCACTCGTAGCTAAAACATTTCTTCATCCTTCCGTATAATATTTCCTCATTAACTTTCTCGTCTTCTACGTCACTTGCCTACCCGACGAGTACTTTACAATGACCGCTATTCTAGCAATATTTATGGGTCACCTTGCCATCTAATCACAACTGTTCAACATTCGTCCTAATGTATATTCTGAACCAGGTAGGTATGCTTGCGTTTTCAGTGCGAAAACGTTATAAAGCGATTTATCGCAGACATGTGAGTATCCTTCATAGTAGCCTTAAGCCTATCTTATACGCCAAAAACTTACAGGCATACAGTGATGTGAACCGATTTCTTTGTATCTTTTTCACTTTCTGCGAACCGGAGATCTTGATCATTATACTACTTTTGATACCCGAAAGTCTGATTTCCCGATCTTCACATAGGAAGGATATGGCATTCATGTCGAACCGAATTGATGTGCACACCGAAACATTGCTTCTTCGCACATGTGAATACAGGTCAAGTGATATGTGCGAACGCTGTTCACAAATGTGAAAGACAGTCAGTTGAGCATCCACTATTCACAAAAATCCGTTAACTGATTGAATCTCGTTGTATTCTGGCAGTTGTGAGAACTTCTCTATGCCATTCGAGAGAATTTTGGATGACTTGTTTTGGTGTAGCGGGAATCTCATTTTCTTAACCAACAATGCAGTTGATTCAACTCACTATCAAAATGTTATGGAGGGAGATGCCATGCAGGTATGCACAGAAACGCGAAGCAAACACATAGGAGAAAGTAATTCAATGGTCCAGCGAAATAGCGACTTTTATATGCTGACTGTTCAATTTGGCCTTGGTGTGATTGGTTGGCTCAACAATCGCCCAATCAGGTGCATCCAACAGATCGGGCGATGCACACGCGAACCGGCTATCATAATCATGAGCGTCAGCTGAAGTTTTGTTCCAGCACAAACTAACTCAAGACTTACTGCATGCGGTCGACTGCAGGACGCATAATTGCAACGAAAGTTGTTCGTTGGATGTGGGGTAGACCGAATACTGAATAGGATCCGGAGAGAATAAGTGAAGATTGCATGGGATGTACAAGTGCCCGAGCATCAAACCAAAGTGAAAAACATAATATCCAAATCCTTATTGCGCAACGTTTGGTTTGGCATTCCAGACCTGTGTGTGATTTCGTGAAAATTGTCATTCAACAATTTCACTGAAATCTGATCCCGAAAACCAATATTAGAGATGCTTTGTGCTCCTCATCAGTGATTTGGAACACTTATTCAACCGTACGTTATTGATTTTGAATAAAAATAAATCAGTGTAAATGCACAACTTTGGTATGGGATCCCTATGATTTGGTCGTCTTTTTCCGATTCCCTTTTTCTCTGATGAATCTGTTTCTGGTTAGAACTGCTGGGTTAGGTAGAGAATATCAAATTTCAGAACTGTGCTACGTGCCCTGTGCGGATGACAGCAAAGAAGCAAAAAACAGCGGTAGCTAAACAATAAGACCTTGAACACAATGATATCGGACATCTAACCAAACCGGCCGGAGTAGCAGTGGTCACTAGGATTGCATAACGGCCGCATTGCACCGTATGTCAGCTCCTCAAATCGTGCTTGTCGCGCTGCCCCAGCCTTGTTTCCGTTCTCTCGACACACTTGCGCTGTGCGGTACATTTAACCTAGTTTACGGACATGATCTCTTACTCCCATGACAGTTGACTGGGCCAATAAGCCTAATTTCTAACTTCAGTTTTGTGCCGACCGCCAATCCTTCAGGTTCATATCATCCTTTTTTCAACGCCATGATCTGGATGTTCTGCGATTTGATTGGCTCTCTCTATTTCCTTTTACAGGGGTTCATCATTATTGATGCTTCACTTTCTTTCGACTTGACGGAGGTATCTCTGCATGCTCTCCCTATTTGCACATTTTTGACTTGATGCTGATCTCTTGGCCGGACAAATTTGGGGTGTTTGCGTTTCCGGAACTTATGTATTGTTTTAATAGATGCATATTTCTTGTGCCCATTTGGACATTGATGTTCTGGACGAAAATGGGTAGACAAATCTAAGTGGCCGTGGATTGGGAACTGGCGTAACATAGGTGATCGTTTGGTATCAGTTGCAAGCATAAAACCTGACAGTTCAGTCGGTGGATTTGCGGGCTGGCACGAGGGCTGGAATCACGTGAAACAGCTGAACAGGAGCAAGTGATAAACCCCATCCCACCCCACCCCATATTGCCGATCCATCTTCAGATAACATTCAGTCATGTTGGCTGCACGCGTAGAACTCGCACCGAATTTCGTCTGCGCAATGCTCCCCGGGAAGAAACGAACAGTTTTCGAAACGGATACAGTATCTGCATTCTACCAAATGGAGGAGCGAAGCGCTGTTTTCATGGAATCACCAGACGTTGCAATAGATTTAGAAACGTCACAACGCCGATATTTTAAATGTTTCAAATTGTTTGTTCAGTGAAATTAAAGAAACCGAACAAATGTAGACTGATTCGTCTAGCACCAAAAACACATCATCTAAACCGATGTTGGAGGGTTTGACCGGAATCAATGATTCGAAAGAAATATCATAAAGATCGTTCAAAACTGTACCCAGGTTGAAATACAAAAAAACATGGTAAGTTTCTCTCGCAGTGCTACACAAAGAAACACAGTCATCACGTAGCTTCGATAAAAGTCCGGAATATGTTCACATAGGTGATGGAAAAAAGTAATGTGGATCGACCGTATGCTTGGAATAATTCCTAGAGTGAAAGCTGATAATCAGATTGAAATTTCGATCGAAGGAATAGAACGACAGCCTCATCAGCAAACGGTAAAAATGGACAATCAACACTCAACTGCATACACCATTCTCTTGGAACGGTTTTGTTCTCATTGCTGACCAGCACATTTTACAAAATGACTCTACATTCCCACATATGAATGGTGCTGTCCCCTAGTTTTACATTACAAAAAGGTCATCGTTGTTGTTTTGTAATCCTCAAACAGAATGACGTTCGAACATGAATTAAATTTGAAACTGATGGAGCCTAGCCTTACAGAAGTCCTATACAAGAATCGTGCACCGTACTCTTTCCCCTAGTTTGTAACATTCATCACATATATTAAGGAACGATTTCCGTTTTCCAGCCCTTTTTTATAAGGTATCAACATAGACCACCAAGTATACTCCAAGTATACTTGTACTCTTCAAGGTCGAACCACTGGTTGCTTTCTTATTGCAAGGCAGTCTAGTGATTATCTATCAAGATTCGATTTGAGAAGATTTCAGACGAGTGACTCTCTTCTCTAGCTATTTTATATCTGTATGTTGTTTACTTTAACACATACAAGCACGCACGAGATATAGAGTAGCAAGCTTAGATTAGCAAATTGGATTGTTCAGAGGCACCAGGCACTGTACATTGATTGAGCCGTTCGCACAAGGTGAGAACCGTCGATCGTGTAGCTCAGGGGTAAGGGTTTGAAGTCCCGACCCAAATGTTCGCGGTTGAAGTCCTTACAGGGACACAAATTGTACGCACTGTTGACGATTCTCAAACAGTATGAATAAGCTATCCAGTGCTCTTTGTCGGTTATCACAAACATCTTGGGATCTGCTTATACTAACCAATCAAGATGTGATTTCTCATCCTCCCCTAAATCCTTATACACATCATATGCACTATGCCATATTTGCAAAATACGCCATCCATTTTGTCTCGAAAATCATCAACATTATACGCTCAGTTGCACTCAAAACACATGTTGTTCTTTTATTAATTAAATTGAATTTTACGCAACTTTGTGTGTGTGTTAAACTGACACTTTATGACGCATGGAAAGTGATTATTCTACTTGAGACTAACAGAAACCCACGTTGCTCTGAGCTGAGGATCTGTCAGTGAGAAATCGATCTGACTTTGTGTCATACCCTTGTCCAAATACCACTCAAAAAAAGGGACAGGATTAATGCCGCCCATATCTGTTCAAATTATTACAAAGCACGCCGATAAAATTTTGATTAATCCGGCAATTCCATTCCAACCGATCCAAATCGATTGACTTTCAAATCTTCGTGCATTGCTTTTGTGGTCAAACTATTCACTCACAAAAACACAGATTTTAAACGCGATTTGTGCATAATCAGAACCGATTCGTTTGCGATCATTTCCGCACGTCGCTCAATTACTTCGGCGTTTCTTGATTATCAATTGAATGTTTCTCCGTCGCTAATGGTGCATCCAGCATCACAGGACTTTCATTTCTTATTTTATAATTTAATTAATAAAAAATCGCAAAGAACGGACAGACCGGAATCACAGATGAATGTTAAAAATGTTGTTGTCGATCTTCTGAGTTATTCTACTTGTGTACATTCACCCTTACCATTCGCCCCAAAGTCAATCATAACAAAGAGAGTGCAATTCCTTCTTCCGATCTAAGCAAGCTTGCTTTTCTTGGCCAGAACAATCTCGTTGCCTATTCAGGTCATTCTCTATCATTTTACTGCTAGTTTTGTCACCATTTTCTGGAGTTACACACACAGAGGAATTGTTGATCTTTGGAAGTAACGAAAATAGCATAGTGCAAACAATGGCTGATTACTGGCTGGATGATGGATGCGGCCAAACACAGATGTGAGTCCTCTAGTAACATTATTTTCGCTTTCCAACATCATTCTCCTGATCCATGTACAGACCCCATTTTGTTTTATTGCCCGCTGTTTCGAGATCGCATATGACCTCGAACATGACACAATTTCCGGTGAGTTGTATCGTGCGCTTGGATCTCTATACATTTTCCACTACAGGTCGCTTTACACTCTGACACTCGTACTCGACTTGGTTCTCAATCTATTGCCTAGTTGAAAAACCTCTGGATTAGGCCGCTTGGTTGATTCGGTGAACGCATCGTTGCCCAGCTCGTTTTAGGCGCTAAAGTCCATGCGAGAAAGCCACTCCCATGAGTTGTCAAACTAATTTTAGTCAGCCCTGAGCGAAAACACTTTAAAATGCCCTCTCAACAAACGGATCTTACCCCCTCCCTCAACAAACCGCATTAGGTTAAACACAAATGGTGCAGACCACCATGACGTAGAGTAGTGATTTCGCGGCTAAACCTCGTCACACCTTAGAAACAGTTCAGATGAAGCTCTACCACATTGCACGTTGGATGCAAATGCGAGTGTGTTGCAAAACTCTGACGCAAGGAAAGTACACACATTTGAACTCTAACCGTTTAATAATCAAACATTCTCAATGAATTCAAAATTCGTTAACCGGCTCCTAAATCAACCGTACCAAGATAGTCGTGACTGTCGCTCGTTAGAAGAAACTTTCCGATATAAAGGAGTAAGGCGAAGTGCTTCAGCAAATCGAGTACTGTGTTAGTGAGATAGCCAAGCCATGCCACTGCTCAAAGTGTAGGTTTTTGTGACGTATTAGGCGATCACAGTCGAATTAAAAAAGAATGTGAATGAGCCACATGGAAACTTTCAGGGGGAAAGATAAGTGCAAACTGACTCGTTTGAAGCCCG